CTGGGACCCTTGCTCCAACCTCTGTAATGCTTTACAGATGAACAGCATCAGGTACCCACATTTTACTGTCCACTGCAACAGTAGCCAAGGATCAGGCAAAGAGAAAAGAAGCCATGCCTTAAATGGTGGCTGACCTTGTGGACAGAAAAGAAAGGAATATAACAAACAACCTTAAGTTTTGCTGTTCTAAGTTAAATGCCTGCATCACTCACCATTGGGTCAGAGACCACATATAATCATCACAATGGGAAATGCAGTTGTTCTGGGAAGAGACAGATTTGCCCAGTTGTGCAACTCTGGATTAGTTACATGAGCTCTGAGCTCTCATTTCCCTCAATGCAAATCAGGAAGGATGATACCTAGTCTGGAGTTTTGTTATAGCCCACGAACTCCAAAACGACAGACTCACTGTAGACATTTAATAAAAGAAAGCTAAATACATTGCACTTTTGCCTGGCTTTAGGACAGAGACAAAAAGCCAGACATGAAGATGAATCAAGAAAATCACTAACAAAATGGCAGTATATTCTTGGAGATAATACATTTAAATTTTTTCTGCCTACATTTTTCAGGCCTTCTGATTAAAACTGTGAAACTTGTAGCTTGCATCCAAGCAGTCTTGTACTTGTCCTCGGTATTGAATAGGCTCCGCCATATTTTTAGATGACTGAACATTGCATATTTATTTTTAGAGAGCCCAGCTATAAGCAAATGACCAATACAAATCAATATAAAAGTAGTTCATATTGAAAACATCCAGCTCTAAATTCCTGTAGCTGGCATTGCCATTCTTTAAAGCAAGGGTTCTCAATAAATGTTATCTGTAATAGTAATTTATATAAAATTACAATTGCAAATACTAAGAGGGGAAAAAAGACATCCCATGGTCAATGAACTTTGGGAGATGGTAAGGTAAGTGAACTTAAGAAAGGTTTTGTTTCTGTTTGTGTTTTGTTCTGTTCTATTTTTCCTCAAAAAAAATATCAGAACCTTCAACATTCCAGTGTATATGATATACCTTTAAAAGGGTAACAGGAATCCTACATTTCCAAAATTTATTTGCTTACAGAAATAACATGAGGAACCATAATATTAATCTTCTATTTTGGGGGCAGGCATTCTTGTGTTGTTTTTGATGAAGATAATTTTCTAGGCACATTAGCAGGGCTGACAGGGCAGGGGAGGTACAGAGCAGAGCAAGGAAGAATGTAGCCTGAGGCCTCCAGGAGAGCGTGAGCCTGACATCAAGCACAATGGTGGGTTGGCTGCAGGGCTAAAGACAGGTCAGTGGCAAACTGCGGAATACATGTGTTGTCTACCATGATTCAAACTTGTAAAAAACATTCCATGAGCCAGACGTGTCTGTACACACTACGTACCACAGGTTGTAGGCATGAAGTCTCTATTCCTAGGAAATTGCTTTCATTTTTATTTCAAAGAAAGCACGCTATCCAGGTGTTATTGTACACCCCTGTGGTCTAGTACTCAGAAGGCTGAGGCAGAAGAATCAGTTCAAGGCCAGCCTGGGCTACATTTAGTGGGTCCAAGGGCAATCCAAATCTCATAGCAAGACCCTATCTCCAAACCAAAATCAAAACAAAAATAAGAGCACCATGCAAGTGAACTTTAAAAAAACAACCTTGTGTGCTCCCACACCCCTCTTGATTTTTAAAGTTCTAATATTCTTCCATTACAATCTTTAAAATATCACAAAAAAAAACAACCTTCAAAGATCCAAATATTTGTGTATTGAAAGGAGAATGCAAAGGGTGTGGCATGTTTAGAGCAGGAGGTATCTGTCGTCTCCCACCACAGAGCTATTGTTAGGCCCATCTCAAGGTTGAGAAATGGAGACTTATTAAGCGGTCAGCACTGTGTTACACACAAGTCTTTGGATCAGGACAGCTCCTGCCTTTTGCCCATTTCTATTTTACCAGACACCATTCCCATATGCTTTACTTGTGGCACCTCATTTAATCCTCATAATAACTCTATTATCCCCATTTTACAGATAAGGCCCAGAGTTAGATGGCAAGAAACAGAGAAGGAGCTGAATTCCAGATTGTGTAGGCAAGGTAAACCCATTTTGAGTGCTTTTGGCTGCAGGAGACAAAAGCCCTAAGTGCTTGGACCAAGTATTTTTCCACAAGAAAGCTGAAAGCAGGTATCTGCTCAACAAAATCAGTGCCAACTTCTCCCTGGTGGCAAAGTGTCAAGCCCTGCACTAGGCAGCAGATACAAAATCAAGAAAGCAAGGAGAAAGACATGCCATTGGCTTTCTTTAGAGATAGGGTCCATTTTGCTAAATTGTTCTGGCTTGGCCTTAATTTGCAATCCTCCTGCCTCAGCCTCTGGAGTTGCTGAGATTATAGGCAGAAGGCATGGCACCCCAGTTTTCTTAGGTCCTTTTAATCTGGAAATTAAACCCTTTCTCAAAGGCCCTATCGTATTTCACCTTCTACCTCACTGCCAAAATGACATTCCATGGCCATGTCTGACTGCGAAGGAGTCTGGGAAACAAATATTTATCTTTCTCCAGGTGGAAGAGTAGAGACACTAAAAGGAAAAGGCAGCTACGAACAGGTGCTGGTTTAGGTTGCCAACAGCATTGGTCATCAGGCAGTTTGATTTGGTTTGGTTTAGTTTGGTAAAGAAAATACCAATAGAAGAATTTTATCAGTGTATCCACCCATGCCATAGACTTGAGAAACTTAAACAGCAATGATTAAAGTTTGATGCAAAACCAAAGCTGAATTACAGAACTCCAATTATCCTGTGTCTGCTTCTGTCCATTTCTAGAAAATTATCTTCAGTACTTTTTCTCATCAAATCCACCCAGGTAGTGTAAAAAATTTACTACTTAACTTTTGCAAATTCTGGTTCTTTTAGTTAGCTATTCTCAGTTCCACAGTTGCAACTTATTTTCAGTTAATAGATCAAAAGGACATTTTCAATCGTTTCAAAATCAAATGTTTGATCAAATGGATAGTCCATGACTATCAACTAGAAAACTTTAGTGCTGAAAATGTCTAGTAGATTATTTGTACTTATTATCCACTTTATTTGTCCTGGCTTCTCTGGATCAGTCTACAACTTTAATTGTAATTTTTTTCTTCTGTATCTTTATCATGGCATTCAGGCTCAGAAAACCTGTTAAGACGGATGCATACTTCGATGTAGAAATCCAGTTAACGTATTGCTATGGAAACCAGGAAACAGAAACAGTACTCATCATTTTGTGTGTGAATTCATTTATTCAACTTTTATCGAAGGCTGTTACTTAATGATAACAAAAATCAACTGATCTGTCCATAAATAGGTCCAGCACTCTATAATCAATAAAATCACATTTTAGTATCAACAATAATTTTTAAGTTCTGCCATGTGGTATCAGGGTCTCTTTGGTAGGGCCAGGTCTACTCAACAGACTCAGTTAAGGCTTTCTGCACGCTGTCAGAACACCTGCCCTGAACTTGGGAGCTGGATTGTAACCTTGCCTCTCTTACTACCAGCTGTGTGATCCTCCTAGGAACTCTCAGAAACTGTTTCTCCATCTGTGAAATGGTTCCATACTGGACTGTAACATTTTAATAGGAACTTTCCTTCTCCATAACGTGGGGGTTGGTGAAGTAATCAGTTGTGAAAGGGTTAAAATCATTCTGATGTCTCCGGTAATGTGTTTGGCACATAGTAAGCTCTTGGAAAATAGTAACTAGTCTCACTGCATTTTCCTACTCTTTATTCGGAAGTAAATAGTACCTGAACCTCCATGTAACTGTAATTTTGTCCCATGACTGTCAATAATTAACAGATACATGAGCTCACACGTTGCTTTTACAAGACCTGGAAAGAATTTTCAAGTTTTAACAGGCAATGTTGTTCTTTAGATTCTGTTAGTTACCTTTGAGTGTTTATTTTTATTCTTGTAGGTCAACATAAATTTTACATGTGAAATATTTTTTTAAAAATTACCCTAAAGGAAATCCTAACTCAATTCACAAAGGCATCAATCTTTAAAACAACAACAACAACAACAAAAATCCTTCAACTTTCAAGAATTAAACTTTTGTTCAATTTTGCTTTTTCACCATAGCTATTTGTCCAGTTATTTAATCAGCCTGTTTCCAGAAGGTTTGGGGAAATAGTTAGAAACTGATCCTTCTCCAGGGTTAAACTTCTCTGTTGTTCTTCCTTCTAGAAATCCAGAGTTATTATAGTAGGGGATAATGGTTGCATAATGAAATCATTGGGACAGTTCGTCCATCCACTCCCACGACCATCCCTGACAATGAATTGCTTGTTTCCGCGGCGCCCCCAGCACTCCCACCCGGGAGAGCGCTCGCGGGCTGCGGCGTGGGAGAGGCCGAGGCAGCGCTCATCCTGCTGGCCCTGGCGGGGGTGTGTGTCCCGCGCTCCGGTGACACTTGCTGCCCAAGCACCAGGAGGGGGAGACTCGGTCTTGCTTATCTCCGGCTGTGCTTGACTGGCGGAGCCCAGCCAGGAGAGAGCACCCGGCCAGGGCGACAAAACTTCCCCACCTAGAAAGTTTCACCTTGTCGCGGGTGGGGCGCGGCGGGGCGGGGCGGGCGGGAGGAAACGCGACCCCCGCGGGGCCAGGCGCGGCGCGGGTGGCAGGAAGGGCGGGGCCGCTTTCCCCCTGCGGGTGGTGCCAGTCCCCACTCGCCGGCCCGGGACGGGTAGCCGCTGCCGCGGCCCGACAGCGCAGGGAGGGAGGCACGTGCTGAGACGGCACCGGCTCGGCCCCCGCGCTGCCTCCGTCCGGACGCGCCGGGCCGCGCGCGCCGATGCCGGGCTGAGTCACGGGCCGCGCGCGGAGCGCAGGGCGGAGGGAGCGCGGCGGGCGAGGGGGCGGGCGGCTCGAGCGGCTCCGCCGGCCGCAGGTGACCCCGACGGCCTCGCCGCCGCCAGGTCCCGCGCGCCTCCAGACCAGATGCAGAGCCGGGTGCGGCGCGCGGGCCAGATGCGGGGCGACAGCTGACTTGCGGCGGACACGCGCGGGGCGCGCGGGTGGTCCCCGCCGCTGACTTCGCCGCGGGTCCCCGGCACCACACGGCACCACACGGCGGAAAACGACAGCCCGTTCGGATCTCGCACCGCCAGCCGCTCCCCGGAGCTTCTGCTTTCTTTGTTCGTGCTCTTTCCGAGAGCGAGACCGCAGAGGTGAGTGAGAGTTCAGGGGCTTCGGCAGGCAGCCGAGAGGAGGAAGTGTAGGGGGCGGAAAGGGGCTCGCGCCGATCGCTTTCAGGGTTTGTTCCCGACAGCCGCGGCGGGACTCTGACTCGGCGAGACTGGCGCCGGGCAAGAGTGCTCGCTCTTGGGACCTTTACAGCCCACAAGTTTCAAGGCTGTGATTTGAGTCCACCCTTCCAACGGGGTTCAGTCACCCGGTCCGGGGTAATGCAGGGTTCGAACCCAGTCATTTCCTTGTCGCCAGCCCTGCTTTATTTGTGTTATTTGAGGGTCTTTCCGCGCGGCAGGTGTTTCTGGGACGGCCTGAGTTTTCATTTCTGGCAGACACACAGAGCTTGTGATCCATCTGTTTTCAGTCGTACCTTATGTCTTTGCTGGGGCTCTGTGGAGGTCAAACAGATTAGAACCAGAGGTTGGACAGTCTGACCCGTCCTTGTGCTGATCCAGGCATGAAAGCACCCGTGAAAACTCGATGTAGAATATACCCCAAAATATGTTTTTCCATTTCCTATCTTTTATGTTTTAAAACAACCATTTGCTAATTTGGCAGTTGGAGAGGTTTCCAGGGGCTCAGGCATGAATAGTTGCACAGTGGATTTTCCCTTATTACAGTTTTATGTTCCGAAAGAAATATTGTCAACCTTCAGGCAAAATAATGAGGATGCTTTAATTGCCAAGTTAAGATGAATCATGAATATAAGAAGATTGTAAAAACTGACACTGAAGGGAATATAGACTGAATCTTAAAGAAGACTTCACATTTTGTAGTATTGCGTGGAGGTTTATTCTGTTCCTTCCACCAGACAGACACATGCACATTGCCATGCAAATGGATTCAGAAAAAAACATTATTTTCCTTTACAGCTAAACTATTACAGCTGACTAATGAATTTTTTCTGCATGAAGATGATCTGAACATGATGTACATCATGTTTCTCTTTGCTACTGGGACATAAATTGTGCTTTTATGTGAACAGTACTAAGTGGCACTTGGATTATTTTCAGGTATATGACTTTTCTTTCCAGTTAGAAACTTATCAGGCTTTGTTTGGAATATGTAAACTTTTATAGTGGAACACAAACAGGGTGCTTCGGTCCAATCATGTCAAGTGTTCAGTGCTCATTCTTTATGAACTGACATAATTAGTAGCTAAGGTTTACATCATTCATGAGAAAATTCATAGTACCAAAAATGCATCTGGTTGCCTGTAAAACATACCAGTGTTATAAAATTTGTATTCAGTTTTCAAACTTAACTGCATAAGTCTGCAATTGTTGACTTAAACATGTTTTGCTTTTAACAAGACAGAATTTATGGCATAAAGAGGATGATCTGCCAAGTACTGCTTTTTCAAAGATTGCTTTGTTCTTGGTAATTTGCGATAAAGGTTTACATTAGATGTACACTACATGCTCTCAGAATTAGAGGGTAGGATTTCTCTGAATGAGAAAATGCACTAATTAAGAATAGCCAGTCAATCTGATAATTAATAACCTTTTTATTGTTTCTAAGTCTATAATAAAAGAAAGATAACACATTTCTAAATAGAAATACTCATCATTTATAAATTCCTTTTAAGACCATGAAGTATATGGCCCACATTAATCTTGAATTTTTTAAAAGATTTGTTTTAATGTTGTCTATATGAAGAAGTATGTGTCAAACATCAATTTTTGTAGTTGTTGGTAAAAAATAATAGTTCAAAATAGAATTGGCTTGGTTTTCCTTCTGTAAATCTGTACCATAGCCTTGAATCAACTTTTTCTCAGATCTCATCTAGAAACAAAGTGAGTAACTTGGAGGGCTTCTCAGAAGGCACACTCTGGTGGCTGCCCCAAAGCATATGGTGATGGACCTGCTTGGGGCCCAACCCCTCAGGCACTCAGACTCCTCCCATTTGGGTGCCCTCTTCCTCCTCCTCCCTGTCCCTTTGGTTGGTCAGGCTGCTGCTTCCAATCCTGTGTCTCCTTACTTCTCCATGCCAGTTTCCTGGTTTCTTCTTCACTGCCATTGGGCTTCATGATTCCCACCAGGGCTCTTCCTTTGCCTGTCCCTAAGATTTCCCTTGGCTTACCATATTCTTGAGACGCTCAGTTCTCCTATTATGTTCCCTTAGTGGGAGAAAATACACGCAGAAGTTCAAGTGCGAGGAAATTCATTTCCTTTTCCAGACTGGGTAATGTTGAAACTCATGTCTGAAGCACCAGCCCTTGGGGTAGTTTTTCCTTGGGTTTTAACTCGGTGCAAAGTAAATATAGTACTCACCTCTCAGTAATAAAGGATTGGTACGCTGACTAATGTCAATTCAGGATCACTTTGATTCTGTGTTCTTAACAGACACTGAGTTGCTGCCAGGCCCACATTTGCCTCACTAAAAATAGCTAAGAACTGTACTTCGAGCAAAATATGTGTTTGGTACTAGGAGAATGTTTTTTTTAAAAAGAAGAAGAAAAAAATATTAAATCTCTGCTCTTGAAGGATTTACAGTTCTGGTTATACAGAGAGACATAAGTAGAACCCAAGTGCACAATAATTAAAAGAGCATTATAAATAGATTTTTTAAAGACCTTCCTTAGAAATCATTCCATTTGCTATTAAACAATTCAATTTTTAAAAATCAAAAGGTTGGAACCTAAAGACCTTAAAAATTTCAAGGTGATTATGTATATATCATTTCGCTAATGCTACAATCCTGGTATGGCTGATACTAATACCTTAATATCCCCGTCATAGACTCAAGCCCACCCTCTTCACTGTCCATAGTGCCACACTGCCACATGCCGCAGCCATCAGCCAAGATTAACTCCTGAAAGCACCTTCCACTAAGTTAGGTTGGGACCTGAAGTTAGTGATGAGTTGCAAATGAAAGATACCAAAAAGGCAGGAGTAGAAAAGGAGGGAGGAAGGGAAGAAAAAAGCTTTTCATGTGTGTGTATGTGTGTGATAATGTCTTCTGAATCAGATAAAGAACTGTGAGTAATTTTGTAATCTGCCCTCTGATTTTAAAAAGCCCATTCTCAGAGATCTGTTAAGCAATTTAATGTATTTCCCTTGGGTTTTTGTTTCAATAAAAACATCCAGTTAAAATCTGACTACTTTGCTTTTCAAGGGACAAAATGAAGAAGGTGTTTTTATAAGCTGTAAAGCATAATTGAGGAAAAAAAATCACACGTGTGGCATTTGTAACAGGAGGTGTGAGCACTGTGAAATGAAAAACAGCTCACTTTGTATCGCACCCACCCAGGCAAGCACGTTTCCTTATGCGATTGTGTCGACACGGGCAAGTAAGTTTATGCAGGTTTCTTCGCTGATTTTAATTTCTGTAACAAATTATTCAGGCTTAGGACCCCTAACAGTTCTATAAAGACACTGGCTATATAAATTGTATGATAGGCAGTGGAACTTGAAATTGTTTTGATCCTACTACAGTACAGGGTAGCAATAATGAAATGTGATTTGAGGATCACAGCTCTAATGGAAGCTCCTGTGCCCTAGGACTGCAATTGAGGATTTTAGTCATTCAGTCAAGATAGTTTGTTGAGCACCAAATAGGCTGGTGTTTTAGTAGAGAGTGAACCAGGCCAAAATCTCTGGATTCATGATGTTGGATTCTGTTGAGGGAAACAAACAATAAAGAGAAAGAAAAAGACAGAAAGAGAGAAAGAAAATCATGTTTTGTGTTAGGTAATGATAAGCGCTACAAGAGAGAATAAAGTAGTGAATGGAACAGTGACTCAAAGATGAGAGGAAGTAGGCTACTGACTGAAAAATTCAGGAGTGGAGTCAGAGAAGGCCTCACTCATATCGCTAGAACATGAAGGGGATGAGCGAGTCATGTGGCTATCTGACGTGCCCTTCTTACTGTGTTTTTCTCTGGAATTCTTCAGTGCACCGTTTGTACAGCTGTCCACAGAATCCCTAGTTTTGGAGAGTGTCTAGAAAGCTACAGTCTAAAGAGGAAGATAGAGTGCTGACCCCACTCTGCTTGGTCTATGGGGTATGGAAAAAGATTCAGCAACAATTTCCTGCGTTTGCTTGGTCCCGTTTGATCAGCCTTATTGATCCACTTCGATACTCTTCTCACTTTCCACGTCGAGCCTGGCCAGTGGGTTGAAGCGTAAGCCCCATGGCCTTCGTTGCTGACCCCTTGCATGGAGTAAATCTGGAGAAAGCAAAAGAGGTGATTGGTGATGACAGGTAGTCCATCCTCTGTGCACCATTTCTTCCCTTCTGTCTCTCCTGCCTTGCCCTTTCCAGTGTTAAGGCACTACACTGGATTTCCTTCCTCTTCTGCACTGTTAGGACCCACCTCTGTGTCCTGATGATGATTTACAAACTGGTAGCCTGAATGAGTAGAACCAGCTGTTTCACTAGGGACTGCCAAGCTGACAGAAAAGCCCTGCCAAGGAGAAAATGGCCACCACTTAGCGTCACAGAGTTGCCCTGGGCCCCAGTGTGTATTATGGGCTCATTAGTGGTATCTTTAACATTTGTGAGAGAACCTAGTCATCTAATTTCAAAATGTTGATTCAGTATCTTTACCATGCAGCCTAGAGAGCAGAAAGTCAGCAGGCCGCATTTGGCCTCTGGGGATCCCAATCACACACTGGGCCCTAGCTAGAGTGCTAAGTGGCATCCTGTGGCACCTTCAGGGACAATATTGTTCCCAGGTAAGGAAACAAAGGAAAACTTCAAAATATATTTTATTTTCTACAGTTCTTAACCTCCCCACACTGGAAAATTAAGCAATTCAAGAAAGAAGAAAATATTTTATAATTCATTTTCTATTGGAACATGCTTAACTTCTCTTAAAACCCATCAACTCATCTTGTGTCAAGCTATGTATATGTCTAAACTAAAAGATAATTTAATTATTTCATTCTTAAACTGAAGCAGTTGGTCTCTGAAACCTGAATCTAACTCAATGTTACAAATGAACTTAATTTCCAAGTTTTCCCATTCAGGATAA